AGTTAAAATGAGGTAATTAGGGTGGGTCCTGATCCAATATGACTAGTGCCCTGATAAGCAGAAGAGACAACGGAGACTTACGGGGAGATATCATGGAGACTTACGGGGAGATATCATGGAGACTTACGGGGAGATATCATGGAGACTTACGGGGAGGGAGACTTACGGGGAGATATCATGGAGACTTACGGGGAGATATCATGGAGACTTACGGGGAGATATCATGGAGACTTACGGGGAGTTATCACGGGCATGTCAGGTGATAACAGAGGAGGAGCTTGGAGAGATGTGGCTGCAAGTCAAGGAATACCAAGGATTGCCAGTAGCAACCAGAAGCCATGAAGGGCAAGGAAGGATTGTACCCAGGGTCTCAGAGTGGGCATGGCCCTGCTGCCACCATGATTTCAGACTTCTGGCCTCCGAAGTTGTGAGTAAATAAATCTCTGTTGTTTTAAGCCACCTAGTCTGTGGTGGTTTGTCACAGCAGCCCTAAGAAATGAACACATTGACCATATGGAGAGCTCAGGGACCTTCAAAATCATATTAACTGGCAGGTCCTGCATGTTAAAAGCTCTTTCCTTGAGATTCTCTCTCTCTTCTTGCACATCACTAAAAGCTGCAATAAGCAGGCAGGCAGCACCTTCAGCTTGCAGGATGGACATCTCCTTTGCTGGATCACTTCATTGATTGGGTACATTTTCTGTTTCCACATAACTTCAGGCAACAGCGTTGCTACAGCTCTGCCACTACGTAACAAGGATCCCCCTCCTCCAGTTTCCAATAATTTTTACCTCATTTTCCTACAAGTCCTCACCCACAGGTTAAGACCATAAAGGTTTCTGGTAATAATTTCTTCAAGGTATGTTAGGCTTCCACTAGGACGCTTCTCAAAGCTCACTGCACAGGTACAAAGCCACAGTCCCATTGAGGCTTTCGTTATATCAGCATCCAACTTTTGGGTGCCCAAATCTGGATTAGGTATCTGCTGCTGTGCAACAACCTGCCCCAAACCTAGTGGATTACAACACCAAGTGTTCATTATGCACACAGTTTCTGAAGCCCAGGAATCCAGAAGCTGCTTGACGGTGTGCTTCTGGCTCAGGGACTCTGATGAGGTTGCAGCGAGTGTCGACTGCCCCATGCTTGCAGTCTCTGAAGCTGTAACTGGGGCTGCAGGGTACACTTACAAGGTTACTCATGTGGTTGTGGGCAGGAAGCTTCAGTTCCTTGCCACCTGGGCCTCCCCATAGGGCATGTTTATGACATGGTTTTGCCCAGAGTGATTAGAGATAAAGAGAGAGAGTGCAACAGAGTGACCAAGATGGAAGTCATAAGGTTTTATATCTGGAAGCAACATGCCATTATTTCTACTATATGTCACTCAGACCAACTCTGGTAGAGCATGGGAGAAGATACTCAAGGGTGTGACTATCAGGAGGTGGGATTCTTGGGGGTCCATCTTGGAGGACAAAATGTAGTTGGCACATACAGGCTCATGGTTATGGGGTCATCATTTTGCCTTTCTGGTTAATGCTTTTGATAAGATTAATATTGCCAACTGGTAGTGGCTGGATTGTGTGTCTCTAAATTCAAACATTGATGTCCCAACTCCTAGTACCTCAGGATGTGACCATATTTAGAGATGGGACTCTTGAAAGAGGTGATTCAGTTAAAATGAAGCTGTTAGAGTGGGGCCCTAATGTGATACGACAGTATTCTTATAAGAAAAAGCGCACTGGGGTGTGGGTGCATGGATGGATGGCCATGAGAGGTAGCAAGGGGGCAGCCATTGCAAGCCAAGGAGAGAGGCTCAAAGAAAACCAATCCTTCAGGAACCTTGATCTTGAACTTCCAGCCCCCAGAACTGTGAGAAAATAAATTTCTGTTGTTTAAGGCACTCAGTCTGTGGTATTTTGTCATGGCAGCCCCAGCGAACTAATATAACAACCTTTCGAGAGATATCTGAAAATATCTTGCTGTTTCCCAACACACATTTACTCGTTTACTTTTGAAAATCTTTTAAAATGTCACTTTTTGTTTTGATGTGTATAGTTATACATCAAGGCATATAATTAGATTTGTTTCTACACACAATGTGTAATCTAATCTAATCTGAGAGTCCGTGCTTTTACTAGGATTGAAACCTCTTTCATTTCATATTATAGCCCATTTTAAATCTAATCCCCCACTTTCCAGAGGTGGGAGCTGGAGGGATTTAAGGCTCTCTAGGATGAAAATGTATCAAAAGCTGCCTCTCCACTGCTTAAGGGATCATACTGTAATGGAAATGTTGTTTTCAAGGAATTACCAGATCAACTCAGTTCAAGATCAAAGCATTAATCTTCTGGGGCCAGAGAGAGGGGTCTTGAATTGAGCCAAATTAGAAGAGACAAAGGGGATATCACAATTAATGGGAAACAGATTTAGGGAAGCAATCCCGGAGAAATTCTCAAACCAAGGAGCAATTCGCAGTGGGAACTTTTTCACCAGCTCTCCTGGCCTTGGTGTGGATTCACTTAAAGGAGCCGCACCGGAGTGTCTTTGAGTCTTCTAAGAACATGCTTTCTGATTTGTTCTATGCTCTGTTCCGATTACACAAACTTCTGACCACTTGTTTATCTTCATTGCTTTGTCTGCTGCAGTGATTTGGAAAACCAAGCATTCTGTGTTCAGCAGTTATGTTAGCTTTCAATTTAATAAAACATATATTTTAACCTATGTTTCTCTAATTACTAAAGTCAGAACAAAACAAGGTCTTTTGCTTGCCCTGTAATGAATGTAAGAAATTCAGTATGTTTTTACTTTGTCTTTCATCTTACCTTAAAAAATAGTATAGACTCTTACAGAACCAGTTTATCAAGTTTTTTTTAAAAAAAAATCATGCTTTTTTCCAAAAAAATATTTTTAGCTTCCGTATATTTAATCTTATGACTATTTTTTATTTTTTTGAGACAGGGGCTCTCTCTGTTGCCCAGGCTGGAGTACAGTGGTATGATCTCAGCTCACTGCAACCACTGCCTCCCAGGCTCAAGAGATTGTCCTGCCTCAGCCTTCTGAGTAGCTGGTACTACAGGAACGTGCTGCCACACCTGGCTAATTTTTTTGTATTTTTTGTAGAGATGGGGTTTTGCCATGTTGCCCAGGCTGGTCTCCTGAGCTCAAGCAATCTGCCTGCCCTGGCCTCCCAAAGTGCTGGAATTGCAGGCATGAGCCACCATGCCCAGTCAATTTTGTGACTATTTTTAAAAACATATAGTATTGGCTTCACAAAGACTGCCAATCCTTTTATATCTTGACTTCCTTATTTTTGAGTTATTCGTTTTGATTCTTTTTGGTGTCCTATGGAGTAAATTTTAAGATAACTTTTTAAGGAAGGCTATATTAGTGAAATTGCTTCTGATTCTTAGATATCTACAAATATCTTTCTATTGCCTATACTCAGGGATTAAATTTGGCTTGGAATATTATGCTTAGATCATGAAGTTTCCTCTTTAGAAGAGTGCTTATTACTCCATTTGGAGCTAGTGAATGACAGCAGCTAGCCTAATTTTTTCTGTTTTTGAGTAAACTATTATTTTCTGTCTTGTTGCTCACATTCTGTTCTCTTCATTCTAGATTTTTCATCTATGTCCAAGTATAAGTCTTTTTTTTTCTATTAGCATAGGATTTTTTTTACACGAAGGAAATTATTTTTCTATTATGTTTGTGATTATTATTTCTGCTCCTTTTGTTCCAGCACTTCCAAGAATATTTGTTATCCATAGGTTAGACTTCTACCATTTCACTCTGCTTCTATGTTCTTCCCTTACCATTTTGTCTTTAGCCTTTTCTTATATAGTCTTCGAAAACAGTTCACAGATCGCATTTTCTCCCTTGTTCATTCTGCTCTTCGCTGCAACTGCAGCATTTTTGGATATATCCATCTCTTATTTCAGCTGGCTCCATGTGGAGCCACATATGTGGAGGACATGTGGAGTGATTTAAACCCACCTGAATGCATTCATGGGGTGTGGCAGAGCCTCACCTCAGATCTATGCCTGGGGGAGAAATTGATTTACACAATTCCTAGCCTGGCTTCTGGCAGGTTCTCATCCAGCGTGGCTCTGTTCCACGAGGGTGGATCTTGGCTGCTTTCTGCTTCCAGGGCACTTCTGTTTCCAAAGCACTTCCTAAGAGAATACCCATTCCCATGTACCATCCATCCTCTTCCCTTCTACCTCTGTTGTGTTGTACTAGGAGACATGACCTTGAAATTCATATAAAAAGGGGTGAACTGGATGGGGAGAATTGCAGGAACCCAATTCTGGCCCTCTTGGAACCTAATTCCCATGCAGAAGGAGAGAAGCAACCTGAACTCTGGTTATGGCAGCCCTCAGCCCCTGGCCTGGACATAGAGTGGAAGCAGTAAAGCCTTCTCCTGGGGTTCCATTGGCTATTCTGCGCTAGATCAGAAGATGAAACAGATATTACTAGGGTGGACAGTGATCCCTCAAACTAATCCCACTGGCACTGTACTTGGTGGAAATTTCCTCTAGATTTCTATTAATGCTGGCACAAGATTTTATGCTTTTGCAGAGCTTCGTGGGTATTTTAATAGGCGATAGAATGCATCTTAGACTAACCCAATGTTAATTTTTACATATTCCTGATGCAGGTCCCCTCCCTGTCTTTGAGAACAATGTACTCTTTATACATATAAAACAATGATTTTTCAATTTTGATAAGGGCTGAAAATTATACCACTCATCAACTCCCATGGCAGCCACATGGTGCTTGCAGGTGGAATTATACAAGATGACATAAAAGGGGTTAAACAGAAGCATCCTGGACTCTAGAGCAAGCAATGGTGTCATGCAAAATGGCCTGTAGGAACTCTAGCTGCTTCCAGAAGCTTGTCATTAAGCTGACTCATCCTCTACTAAACTTAACAGATAGTTCACCAGCAAGGATATCCCTTAAACACATGTCAAAAGGAAAAGTACAACACCATGTATCTTTACCTTATAATAAATTCTGGTCACCAAACCCCACTGAAGAACCCTTTCACGAAATTTCACTGCTTTCAACAGAAAGGCAAGATCATCAACTGTGTCCATGTTAAATGCCAGGAAACTGAAAGAAAAATCACAGTGACCATCATTATGTTGGTCTCACCAAAGAATTTCATTTGAAAGAAATAGAGTGGGTTTGTCTTTAAAAATATTTTTTTTTCCTGTAGAAAAATAGTGTCAGTATACATAATCTCCCCATCCCATCTCTCATTGACTATTCATAATTCTTTCCAGTAATCTTAGCTCCAGTTTATTCTAGGTGGTTGTCCTTGTGGTATAGAGATGATTTGGTTTCCTAATTTTTCCACTTACTATTGTATTATAAGTAGTGTTCAATATTTTATATAGTCTTTTTTAATGAATAGCAATATGATTTTTGTCAAGTATAATCAACCATTATATAATTCATGTATGACTCAACCATTATACAATCTTTTTTTTTTTTTTTTTTTTTTTTGAGACAGAGTCTCACTCTGTTTCCCAGGCTGGAGTGCAGTGGCATGATCTCGGCTGACTGCAACCTCCACCTCCTGGGTTTAAGTGACTCTCATGCCTCAGCTTCCTGACTAGTGGGGACCACAGGCACGTGCCACTGTGCCTGGCTAATTTTTGTATTTTTAGTAGAGACAGGGTTTCACCATGTTGGCCAGGCTGGTCTTGAACTGCTGACCTCAAGTGATCTGCCCACCTCAGCCTCCCAAAGTGCTGGAATTACAGGCACGAGCCACCGTGCCTGGCTCCCATTATACAATTCTGTCAAGTGAGTTTATAATAATAACCACTATACAGCTCTGTGAAGTGAGTTTATAATAATAACCGCTGCTGGGCATTTACTATAATTATTATAATTGGATATTAATAATCAAATATATCTGTTACAAAATATTTATCAATTAATAATATTTATTAAATATATATCAGGAATTGTGCTCATTATTTGCTGTGAATTATTCAATTTTCTCAATAATTCTAGAATATGATAATTATCCAGTGAAAAGTTCAGGAAACTGAGGCTCAGCAAGATTTGGTAACTTGCTCGAGGTCACACAGGCAGTCGAGCTCAGGTTTTGTTGGGGAACATCAGTGTTTAAAGCAAGAGGCACCCCAGAGGGAAGTGAGAGGGCTGTGTGCAAGCACAGGGGAGGGTGTGCTACAGAGATAGTGGCGTTCCTCAGCAGGCAGCAATTCCCATCTTTCCCACTTGGCAAATAAGGAAACTGAGGCACACAGGAGTTAAGAGACGTTAAGCACAGACTCAAAACAACCAAGTTCACAATTAAAAGCCTGTGAGCTTTTCATCATGAAACTCTGTATTTCATGCCAATTTTATGGCCCCACCATGAACCTATAGATAACCTAGACAAACAGGGGAAGGGTTAATTCACACTTAGAGTTTCCCATAGCGCAGCCACCTCTTGCCCTCCCCTTTCCCCACTTCCTGAGGAAGTAAGTTATCATAAGACCCAAATAACTTAAATTCATATTAACTAAAAATAAAAAACCCAAGTGGCTGTTGTTGCTTAATCAGAAGGCATGAGAGGAACGTTAAGAAGCAATTGATGCAGTGCTTTTGAGATGCCAAGTGCTGAATTAATAATCGCCCTCCATTTAGACAGGGAAGAGGGAGGTATTTACATGCCAATTACCAGGACATTTAAATGATGTCAATGTTTATTCTGAATCTGGGCTTTAAGAAGGTTGGGTTTCTGCCTCAGTCTACTTAATAAAAGATGTGAAGGGCTTTCATATATTATTGAAAAGTATGTTTTAGTCATTCCAGGGGCTGTTGCTGGAAACTGGCCTTCCTGGAATGCGGACTGTAGAACATGTTTGTCCACCTGAGGTTGTGAACTGCATGTGCTGCACGAAGGGGATCTCACCCACTCGCTGAGTCATGTGAGTCGCATATCATGTAGGTCTAGGAGCCTGCCCAGTGCAAAAGAGTGTGCAGACTCTCTTTAAAAAACAGGAACATTGCTAAAGGCAACCTCCTTGTAACTGCGTATTTTACAAGATCCAAATGACTCTATCATTAAATAAAGTTTAAATTAAATTAAAATATGTATCATTAGACATCAGGGAAACGCAAACAGAAACCATGGTGAGGTAGCATTATACATCCACCAGAATGACTACAATTAAGTACACTGACATCGAGTGTTGCCGAGGACCTGGAGAAACCAGAGCTCTCATGCTTGCTGAGTGTAAAATGGTGAAATCTCTTTGCAAAATGTTGTCACAGTTCCTAATAAAACTAAATGAACACATACCCTATGTTCTAGCAGTTTCACTCCTACTATTTGCCTAAGAAATAAAAACATACGTTCACAAAAAAGTTTATATAAGAATGCTCATATCAGTTCTACTCACAGCAGTAAAAAACTGCAAACATCCCAAGTGTCTATTCATCCATAAGAGAATGATTCTACTATATCCATAAAGTAAAATACTACAATAATGAAAAGAAACAAACTAATACACACAACAACATGGGTGAATGTCAAAAAGCATTATGTCAAGTTCACGAGGCAGCTACAAAAGAGTACATACTGCCTGGTTCCATTTACGTGAAGTTTTAGCACAGAAAGATTAATCTGTGGTGGGAAAATATCAGAAGAGTGGCTGTATCTGGGTAGTAAGATTAACCAAGAAGGGGCATGAAAGAACTTTCTGGAGTGATGATCTATATCTTAATAAGAGTTTGGTTACATAGGTTTATGTGTTTGTCAAAACTCAGTGAATGTACACTTAAGATTTGTGCATTTTATTGTATGTAAACTCTACATAAGAACTATAACTGAATATGTAACTCTAGTTAATAAGGCTCATGCTAAATTATTTAGAAATATGCTGATGTCTACAGTTTACTTTGAAATGGATCAAAAAGAGAAGGTGAATGGATGGGTGAGTTCCATATATAGATCCACAGATATGATAGTGATATGGCAGGTACAGTAATAGGTTAATAGAATCTCTATGGTGTGTACATAAGTGCTTCCTGTAAAATTATTTCAACTTTGGTGAATATTTGTAAATTTTACAGCACAATGTAGAAAAACATGTTGGGTGCAAGGCAAAAGCTTGACTTTCCTGGACACCTGCTACTACCTCCTAAAGGTCCACAGGCTGATGAGAGCGGGAAGGGCCCCAGTGGCAGGCTTCCATGCAGGAGGGAGAGAGGCAGCCCTTGCAGGGACAAGCTAGGGCTGAATGGGGCTGTCTGTAGAGCCAGGTACAATCCCCTCTCAGAGTCACTTCCTTCCGGGGCTCCTCTCCCTGCCATGCTCCATTTGCTTTACCTGGTCCCATGGAGGCTTTGCAGTACCATGACTGACTCCTCCCAGGCCGAAATGAGGGGTAGTCACTGTGCGGACAAATGGGTGCATACTGGAGGGATTTGAGGGTGCCAGGAAGTTCTCAGCCCATCTTTCCTCAGGTCCCCAACTTCTCAAGAGTGCTTTTCTCAGGGCTGTCACTATGCCTCCATCCTACTGCTCTCGGAGTGCAGACTCCATGAAGGCAGAGCCCTTAGTAACTGCTGATCACCAATGCATAGAGAAGTGCCGAGTACACAGTGAGTGCTGAAAACATGTTGATGACAAAGGCTTTCCTTCATATAAAAGTTGGAGTAAGTAAAGTTTTGGGATTTAAGTGGATAAACACAGAGACTGAATCAGTAAAACCTAGATGTGTGGGAGAGAGATGTATACTGTTTTGGAGGTTAATAACTGAGACAAAAATAAATGGACTGGAACTTTCCAAATATTTACAATTGGAATACTGCCTTTGGCACATCTCAACTCTGTCCTGGAAAATGTGCTAGGGATATAGATTTGCATATGGGTGACAGCATGTCATACTTCCAAAATGATGGAAACAAGTCCTGCTCTACTATCTGAAAAAGAAATGAAAGGGCAGATGATTTGTGGCCAGTTGGGGAACAAGTTTCCTGCAAGGATGGAACTGATTCTGGTGGGGAGTTGTACTTTTCTTTCAACCCCTTAATATGTTGGACAATTTTCAAACTAATACATTGGAGGAAAAAGCTATCCATACTATAAACTTCCTACTCAAGAGCTAGAAATATTAGGAAGACCCACTAACTCTAGAATATGAAGACAAACGGAGACATTAAAACTAAGAGAGACTCCAGTGAAACACTCCTAACGTGTAGGAGCTCGTGTTTTCAAGCTTTAAGATGGACCACAGTTTGAATAAACAGGGTCCTGAGCAGCAATAAAAAAAGAAAAAAAAAAAGACAGATTACAGATTTCTCAATTGCACTTCATCCCAATGGTATAAAAAATCCCAGACCATCATTTACTGTGTTTTCCATGTGTTTAATCAGGATTGTGAGATTATATTCTTTAATGAATAGTTTCCTTAGAAACTAGTTCACTACTTTCAGGTTTCAGGGACCAATAATTTCATTCCAAAAAAAAAAAAAAATTAAAAAATACACAAAACAAAAAAGCATAAGAAGCTCTCTAGAAGTATAATATAGGAGACAATACATTCATGATCATAAATCAATGAAATAGAAAACAAAGATACAACAGAAAGGATCAAAGGGAAAAGTTAGTTGTTTGCAAAATAACAATAAACCAGTTGCTGATGAGACTGAGCAACAACAAAGAAAGGAGAAGGCACAAGAAATCATTTTAGGAATGACAAATGAGACACAACTACAGATCCAGCAGAAGTTAAAAAGATAATGATAGAATAGTACGCAAAAAAACTTACACCAATAAAATCAAAACCAAATGAATAAATTCCTAGAAAAATATAATTTACTCAAACTGACATGAAAAGAAAAGCCTAGTCTTTAAACAATTAAGCTAATTAAATAGTTTAAAGTACTCGCTAAGCCCAGATTATTTTCAAATTTGATGAATTATCAAATTCTTTCACAGAATAAGAAATCAATCCCCCCAAAATAACTCTATGAGAGCTGTAAAACTTTGACATAAATCTAAATCAGGAATGTACAAGAATGGAAAACTATAAATATACAATCTCCTACTCCTAAAAAATACTAACAAGCCAATTCCAGGAAAATATAAATATGATAATACAGCATAACAAAATTGAGCATTTCTTCAGCATGCAAGGTAGTTTAACGCAAAAGTTGTTCATCAAACTAACAAAATAAAGAAGAAATATATGATCATTTCAACAGATGCAGAAAAATATCATTTGATAAAATTAATCTGGTAATGACAAAAATACATTTAAAATGTATAAGCTTCTTTAGGAAGTAAAGTGTGTCTATCAGAAACTTCAGCACTCCAGCCTGGAAGACAGAATAAGACCCTGTCTCTAACATAATAAATAAAATCAGCAATAATGCAAAAGAACACCCCGTAAGATGGCTTCTATTCAAATTGTGTTGGCGGTCCTAGCTCTTACTGTGAGACATGAAAAGAACAAAAGAAATAATAATTGGAAAGGAAGAAATAAAAATTTATAATTTGCAAATGATTGTCTACGGAAAAAACCTCCAAAGAATCTACAGACATATTTAAAAGAACATCACACACCGGGGCCTATCATGGGGAGGGGGGAGGGGGGAGGGATTGCATTGGGAGTTATACCTGATGTAAATGACGAGTTGATGGGTGCTGATGAGTTGATGGGTGCAGCACACCAACATGGCACAAGTATACATATGTAACAAACCTGCACGTTATGCACATGTATCCTAGAACTTAAAGTATAATAATAATAATAAATTAATTAATTAAAAAAAAAGAAATTTCTTTATAGTCAAATTTATACACAAAACCCAACTGCATGTATAATAAACCATTAACTATAAAAATCATAATTTAAAAATATTCTTTTAGCAACAAAATTACGGAGTAACTAGTAATAAATCTATGAAAGGATATACTATGTATGGAAAAAATTATACAACGCTGGAGGACACTTTGAAGATGAAAATCTTTGAGAGGAAGACCTGCTTTATAAATATGTCAAATTTTCTGCAAATCTATAGATTTAATATACTTTCAAAGCAACTTTCAGCAGGTTTTCAGGCCTGTGGTAAAATACAAATAACAAAACATTTACCATTTTAACTTTATTTACTTTTTTTTTTGAGATGAAGTTTTGCTCTTGTTGCCCAGCCTAGAGTGCAATGGTGCGATCTCGGCTGACTGTGACCTCCACCTTCTGGGTTCAAGCAATTCTCCTGCCTTAATCTCCCAAGTAGCTGGGAGTACAGGCATGCACCACCACGCCTGGCTAATTTTATGTTTTTAGAAGAGACGGGGTTTCAGCATGTTGCCCAGGCTGGTCTCAAACTCCTGACCTCAGGTGATCCACCTGTCTCAGCCTCCCAAACTGCTGAGATTACATGCATGAGCCACTGCACCTGGCCCATTTTATCTACTTTAAAGTGTACAGCTCAGTGGTATTAAGTACATTCACACTGTTGTACAACCATTACCACTATTCATCTCCACAATGTTTTCATCTTCCCAAACTGAAACTCTGTACCTATGAAACAGTAACTGCCCATTCTCTCCTGTTCTTAGCCCCTGGGAACCAATACTCTACTTTCTATCTCCACAAATTTGACTACTCTAGGTATGTCATATAAGTACAATCCTACAATATTCATCCTGTGTTTTATTTCTAAGAAACTTGACAAACTGATTACAAAACTTACATGAAATAGCCAAAGATCCTGAACAGCCAACACAATTCTGAATTACATTTCTGATATAATAATATAATACTATAGTAATATTTTATTATAACGCCAGAGTAATTACAACAGTGTATTGTTGGATCAAAAATATACAAAGAGACTAGGAACAAAATAGCCCAAAAACAAACTCCCAAATAGACGGAGATTTAATAAATGCCGAAGAGACCTTGCAGGTTACTAAGAAAGAATGTCCAATTCAGTAAATGTTGCTGGAACAACTGACTGTCCCTGAAGGAGAAAAGTAAAATTAGATCCCTTCCTCAAACCATACACAAGAATGTGTATGGATTCAATAATTAAATGTAAAAGGTGAGACTTTCAAACTTTTAAAGATATAGATTTCATGACTTCAGAATAGATGATGCAGAAAGTGTTGGATAAAAAAAAAAACACTGGTAAGTTCAACTGTAATTAATGAATTTATCTCAATCAAAAGACACCATAAAGAAAACATAAGACAATCCACAAACATAGAAAAGATAATTATAGCATTTATAACAACAAAGGATAAAGAGCCCTTAAAAATCAATAAGAACAAGACACACACACACACACACACACACATACACACACACACTAAAAATAGGCAAAAAAACATGAACAGGCATTTCACATAAGAACAAATACAAATGGCAAACAGACATGTGAAATCATGCTCATCCTTAACAGTAATCGTAAAAATTCAGTTGAAAGTCAGGGTGAGAGATCATTTCTTATATTGTATTGACAAAAATTAAGAAGTCTGATAGTACCAAGTGTTGGTGAGAACACAATAAGGCCCCACAAGATACATGCTGCTAATGGGGGTGTAAATTTAAACAACCACCTTGAAAAATAATTTGTCACTATCTAGTAAAGTTGAACATTACTCCATAACACAGCAATTCCATTCCTAGGTAATATATATCATAAGGGAGTGTTTTTCAAACAATAGATTGCATATAACTAATAGGTCATAAAACCAGTTTAAGGGTTAGGGTATTTTTTTTTTTTCTTTTTGAGACAGAGTCTCGCCCTGTCATCCAGGCTGGAGTGCACTGGCGCATCTCAGCTCACTGCAAGCTCTGCCTCCTGGGTTCACGCCATCCTCCTGCCTCAGTCTCCCGAGTAGCAGGAACTACAGGCGCCCACCACCACGCCCAGCTAATTTTTTTGTAGAGACGGGGTTTCACTGTGTTAGCCAGGATGGTCTCCATCTCCTGACCTTGTGATCCACCCGCCTCAGTCTCCCAAAGTGCCTCACAGGCATGAGCCACTGCACCCGGCCTTTTTTATTTTTATTTTTATTTATTTTTTTTTTTAGGCAAGGTCTCACTCTGTTGCCCAGGCTGGAGTACAGTGGCATGATCTCGGCTCACTTCAACCTCTGCCTCCCAGGCTCAAGTGATCCTCCTGCCTCAGCCTCCTGAGCAGCTGGGACCACAGTCATGTGCCACCATGCCTTGCTAATTTTTGTATTAATTTTGTAGAGACAGGAGGTCTCACTATATTGCCCAGGCTGGTCTCAAACTCCTGGGCTTGAGCAGTCCTTCTGTCCTGGCCTCCCAAAGTGCTAGGATCACAGGCATGAGTCACCATGTCTGGCTGAAATCAATATTCTGCTAAGATCAGTTTTCTTTAAAAATAAAATGTAAAAATATCAGAGAGCATCATTAGTAATAAACAGGGAGGTAGCCACTGCTCCATGAACTGTTTGCTTCAGTTGCTTCTGAAATGGAGGTCCTATGGATATATGGGTGTCCATGGTGATTTAAAGTGTATTTCTTACTCTAAGTAATGTTAACTAAGTTTGAAAGCCCTATAAAAACTCTTGTGCACATCCCCCAGAAAACATGTACAGGGTTTTTCATAACAGCATCATGCAAAATACCAAAAAACTATACATGACCCAAATGTCCAAGATACCAGAGATTAGAATGGATAAGTATAGTGTGGCATACACACAGGATGGAAAATTACAGAATATTGTGAAGAGGAGTTCTGCAGCTATACATAACAATGTGAATGATTCAGAGACACAAAATACTGAGTGAAAACAAAGTTACAAAATACTATATATATTGTTTTATTTATAAAGCTAACGGACAATACTGAAAGATCAATACAAACAACCAGAAGCACGGATGTTGAAGCCAGAGTGTCTGGGTTCAAATCTCATCTCTGCCACTCACTAGCCATGTAACCTTGAGCAAGGTACTTAACCTCTGTGCCTCAGTTTCCTCATCCGTGAAATGGAAATAAGAACTTACCATTTGGAAATGGTAAGCAAGGGACTTAACCTCTGTGTCTCGGTTTCTTCATCTGTGAAATGGAAATAAGAACTTACCATTTGGAAACTTGCCAAATGGAAATAAAAACTCATAGGGTTTTTAGGATTAAATCCTGTAAACTGCTTGGAACAGTGAACATGAAGTAAAAAAGGAACTCAAGGAGAAAGAACAGAATGAGCAATGTTTTAATTTTTAAGTTGGTAGTGAGTGTATAAGCATTAATTTCACATATTCACAGATTTCTTGCGTATAGCAAACACTAAAAATCTCAAGTGAGAGTCAGTTATGCCAAGGCTCTATTAACGCAGGCTTCATGATAAGCCACTGAAGACAGATGATGACGATGGTCTCAGTAACACGTACCTTGTTCTCAGCTTGTCCCCCACAGATTCAGCCCAGTTTTGGAGCAGACCAAAGAGTGGTTTTTCTTCATACTGTTTGGTGTATTGGGCCAGCAGTTCCCGCCCCACAACCTGCGCAGAGAGTTTATCACTCATCAGTCTCAGCAGTGTAAAAAACGACAGTATCTTTAATACTGCAACCCAATAAGATCTATTTGTCACTTAGCAAACTCCTTGGAAGGAATCAAATACAAGACCTGATTCTTAAAATGGCCTCTACTTTCCCAAGGCAAATGTGGGGCATTTATCACACCATCCCCCATCCTCCCCTGTGGCCGACTTCACTAACTGCTTACTGCTTGCTCTCTCTTCTTGCCTGTATCAGTCTCTAACACTGGTCCTGGGACCAACTGTTTTAGCTGACCCTTTGGTAAAACCCACTTGTCTTCCGTGGACCAGATGGCTGGTCCATTCTCTTTTTCACCCCTGACATTCTCTGGTCAGTTAGACCTTTGGGGAATAGTATTGAAATGCACAAATAAAACAATGTCTACCCTCTATCAATCTTCTACTGCAGCAGCTTTAAAGTTATAATTGGGGCCTAAAATACTGCATGCTCTTCTGTGGTGGTTCAAAGAAGATGTCCATGGCTAGCCCGCTGCAGAAACTCAGCTGATGGTCAGCAACAACCACTAGACATGTGAGTGAGGCCACCTTGGACCAGCATGCTCCCACTCAGCCCCGACATGCTGCTGCCACAGCATGAGTGAGCCCAGGGAAGACCAGCAGGACAGCAGAAAGACCACATCGTGTGAGCTTAGCCCAAACTGTTGACCTACAGAATCATGAGCTAACACATTGTTGTCTCAAAGCACTACATTTTGAGGTGGCTTGTTACAAATCAATACATAGCTGATTCATTCTCTTTCAATTATCAATTTCACAATATTTCTTCTTTTCTTTATATGCATGCATGTTTTTATATAGATTATATAAAATGTTATGCATGCTTTCAATCAACAGTATATCACAAATGACATTTTTGGTTTGCATTGTGTAGAATTCCATTTATTTAGTGACCATATCATTTTGTTTTGATAAATCATAGCTAACTAAACATTTCCATTTGGTTGGATACTTAGGTTGTTTCCAGTTTTACATTGTCATAATGACCTTGATAGCAATATAAGCAGACAAATAGCATAGTCATATTTTGTATTATTACCTGTGAATAATTCCCCATGAACTTGATTGATACAGAGGTTCTTTTTTTTTTTTTTTTTAAGAAACTGTTGTTTATTTTCCATCAACCATTTTTCCATGTTGCTTAAGAGCCCGTGCAAGAACCGCTTAAGACCATTCAGTGGTTGCTCGTACCCATTCAGTGGCCTGAGCAGTGGGAGCTGCAGACCAGTCGTCCGTGGCAGGCTGAGCACTCCAGTCTTCAGTAGGGAACTTCTGAATAGGCACAGAGGGCACTTTCACATCTTCACACCAGTCTGCAACCTCAGGCTGAGTAGCAGTGAACTCAGGAGCTGGAGCAGTGCATTCACCCTGAAATTCCTCCTTGGTCACTGCCTTTTCAGCAGCAGCCTGCTCTTCTTTTTCTATCTCTTCAGGATCTCTGTAGAAGTAGAGCTCAGGCATGACCTCCCACGGGTGTTCACGGGAATTGGTGCCACACATGCGCAGAACTTCCCGAGCCAGCATCCACCACATCAGACCCACTGAGTGAGCTCCCTGTTGTTGCATGGGATGGCAATGTCCACATAGCTCAGAGGAGAATCTGTGTGACACAGAGCAATGGTAGGTAGGTTAACATAAGATGCCTCCGTGAGAGGCTGGTGGTCAGACTTGGGGTCAGTAACCACAAGAAGCTGTGGCTCCCTGAAGGCTGCCTGGATCTGGTTAGTGAAGGTTCCAGGAGTGAAGCGGCCAGCAATTGGAGTGGCTCCAGTGGCAGCAGCAAACTTCAGCATGGCCCTCTGGCCAGTATTCCTGGAGGATATAACACTGACATCAGCAGGGTTTTCAATGGCAACAATGGCACGAACCACCAGCAGAAGCTTCTCCCAGGTCCTCTTCAGATTTATGATGTAGATGCCATCACTTTTCCTTTTATAGATGTACTGTTCCATCTGGAAGTCAAGATTGGTGCCACTTAAGTGGGTTCCTGCTGCAAGGAACTTAAGGACATCTTCCTCCTTCATTTGCAGGACATCAAGGGCTCCGGACATTCTGAAAGTTTCCCTTTAAGTTACGACGGGAATCGAGAACAACGCCGTATGGATCCCTCTGTAGGTAGCGCGGAAAAGATACAGAGGTTCTTCAAGAGGGCCACTCTGCCAACAAGAGGGATGCTGAAAACTTTCAAAGCATTTTTGCCTGGGGGAGCTTTACTGGCATTGGTGGGCAGAGCCAGGTGTGAAATGCATGGGATCATCTCAATCAACAGAGGACTGTGCCATACCCTGTGTCCTGTCAAATGCCATGTGGTCAAATACACGCAGGCAGTTAAGAGCCCTGAACTTAGTTACACCAAAGCTTTCAGGTTTTCCAAGTCCCAGGCCTATGGAAGAATTAAATTCCCCTGTTCCCTTGAAATTAGAGGTGCTTTAGGCCAGCGCACAAGTGACACAGCCTTCTCTCCTTTCCCATCGCCATGGCAACCTGCAATGCTCCCAGGTATGACTGGTCCATAAGTCTGGGCATCTGCATTCGAGGCTGACACAGTAATTCTGAGTATAGATGCAGGCATTGTATATCTTGCTGTGTTCATGTTTACTTTATTATAATATAAATAACTTTCCTTTGGTTTCCTTAAGTAGTGTCTTGAATTCTTGCAATTATGTCTCTAGATAGGTTATGTGATCCATGATTTCATTCAGGATAGTAAAGGGAGTGTTACAAAATATTTATTGTCAAAAAGAGGGCATTAGGTCCAGTGAGACTGAGAATCACTGCATTACGGGTCAAAGAACATGTACATTTTTATGGCTGCTGCTATATAAAATAAGTGTGAGAATCAAACCCTGCCAGGATCTGGAAAAGTGGGGAAAATAAACTGACTTTAACTAGAATTAAAATTAAAGTGATATAGCAATCCAGTTCCATTTCACTAACGCAATACCAGGATTAAGATTTAACTTTGTTTTTGCTAATCTATAAAATTTATGATGGCTGTAACTCTATCTTACTCTTGCTGCAAAAGCAACGTCATTCCAAGTATGAACAAATTGCTTTCTCTGACTGCCACCACCACAGCTTTCCCTATTGCTCTATTTTTCTCCATAGCATTTATGGCTACCTGGTGCTGCAGATCACAACTTGTTTACTGCCTTGCTGTCTTCCTACAGCCTGGAAAGCTAGTGCCAGCGGGTCACAGTGTGTCCATTCTTGTGTCATCAGACAACGTATTGTACGGAACCCAGAGGCGAGGACTCACCATTGAAAGAGTGAATGACTAAGTACATTCCCTTCCTGTTTTCCCTATCTCATCCAATACGTCCAATTCCTTGATAATCTCCTTTAACTTCTGCCACGATTTCCACTTTTTCCATTTAAGCAACTAAAATTGGGTAGAACTCACTCACTCTAACCAGAATTAAAATTAGAATGATACAATCATCAAGTTCAGGTGCTAAACTTCAGAAAGACAAGGGAGATAAATTTGGTTCTGGCAAACATCACAAAAGCAGATTACTCACTTTGGATCTCTGCTCCTTTTCTAGGTCATGAGATAAGGAAATATGATTTTTCAAATGAGTTTATTTTCTGCTGTTGATGCCCCCTTGGTGAAAGATTAAGTGATTGAAGCTGTCAGCTACCATGGGATTTGGGCGTTACAGTCTCTCGGTCCAGTACTTTATTTTATAACTTACCAGGCAGAGGCAAAGAGAGATCAGTCACCACCTAGACTGAGTATGCAATGAAGATGTGCTTGTTTCACCTCATAGAGGTGTTCCTGAATATATTATAATATACTATGTAGGATGTATATGTGTGTGTGTGTGTGAGAGTGTATAATTTTTAACTCTATTTAAAAATAATTGTAGGCTCACACAAGTTGCAAAGTTAAAAGCGCACAGAATGATTCTCTCCAGCCATCACCCAGATTCCCCTAAAAAGTGATCTCTTGGCCAGGTGCAGTGGCAAACGCCTGTAATCCCAGCACTTTGGGAGGCCAAGGTGGGTGGATCACCTGAGTTTAAGAGCCTGGCCAACATAGTGAAACCCCATCTCCACTAAAAACATTAAAAAATTAGCCAGGCATGGTGGTGCATGCTTAGAGTCCCACTTACTCAGGAAGCAGGAGAATCGCTTGAACCCAGGAGATGGAGGTTGCAGTAAGCTGAGATCACATCTCTGCACTCCAGCCTGGGCGACAGAGTGAGACTCTGTCTCCAAAAACAAAATAAAAAAGTGATCTCTTACATAACAATGGTGACTATCAAAACTAAGAAATTCAAAACCAATTTTATTCATTACATGTTTTAGTTCTAGATATTTCATTCCTTAGAATGGACCTAGTAGTAGATTGTTTAATAAAGTGAAACATTTTCGGCAACACAAGTGATTACATTCTCCTCTAAGTCTGGTGGTCTGGTGTTTTACTTATTCGAGGTTTCCTTAAGACAACTTGTGATAGGTGATTGTGGGTGGTGTTTTTGTGGCTCTTCATACAGTTCTCTGGTTCTGCACTCTTTATTTTCATATACACCTGCTCAGGAGCCCCTTTCTTAGTAGAACGCTAGGGTGAGTGAGCAGTCAAAACATCCACGTCTTTTCTTTTAAAAAAGATCCCATCTGCAGGAGGAATCAAGCAAATCTACAGCCAACATTTGGAAACTATGAGTCTTAGCAATTGTGCAGAATGATGACATCATCAACATACATTTGCAATAAATATCATATGCATCATGCAACATGATTATGTAACACCAATAAAAGTTATTTTTAAGGTCAAATCACTTTTCAAGGCATCTATGAAGCAACCAGCATTTCCACACACTAAGCATTTCACTGATTTATGCTAGGTACAGTGAAACTTGGATTAAAGAGCCTAACAAGTAGAGTTTGCTGCCAAGGCAGAAAGACTTAGAGCCAATTATAATAGAAAAATGTGATTTCTA